TAAGATGAATTTATTTGGGGTTTTAGTCTCTATTTGGGGCTGTGCCCCTGGGTGCTGTCAAGTCTCTGTAGCGGAGCCCTTCCAGAGCTGTTATCACTGTCTGTGTTACTTTGCTGGGGGCTGTTACACCAACTCTGGGCCTTTGCCAGGGGAACCCTGACTATCTGGCCCAGAAGGAGAATGTGTTGCGACACTTCAGAGGACAGGTAGGTGGGCTAAATGGAATGATCCGCACAATGGGTGGCTGTCGCAGGGGATCTGTATGATCCAACCTGTCACAATGCTGACCTACCTGTGTTGGGAGTGCAGTACTCACAAGCCTCTCTGCTTCTCTTGATCAAGTAGCTTCTATTGCTAGGGTATAGTGATGAAGGGCTACCTCTCTGTATGAGCGCTAGAGGGCATCAGAGCGCCCTGGAATGATAGCAACCAGGCCTCAGGCTGTCGTGGATATTTTTAGGAAGTCATGCACAGGTCACAGGCAATAAATACATTAAAAAAAATCATGGAAGCCCATGATCTGTCCCTGATTTTCACTGAAATATTCCTGGCAAAATAGGAAGGAGGCTTCGGGGTGCTCCGCTGTTGCAGTGAGAGGGAGCTCCAGGGTCCTCTCCCCCTTGTGTGAGCTCCAGGGAATCCCACAACCACCTACCACAGCTGGGAGCTATAGGGTCTGTCTGCTGTGGCTGGGTAGCTGTGCGTGATTTCCCCACTGCTTCCCACAGCTGAGCAACTGCAGGGTCCCTCCACTAAGGCAGGACCTGGGAGCTCAGGTGGGAGGATGGCTGGGAATAATAGAATCGTAAAGTCACAGAATACTAGAACTGGAAGGGACCTCGAGAGAGGTTATACTGTAATTGGGTAATTACAGGAAGCTAAAAGATTCCCATTGAATTGGCATTTAGAGAAAACTAAAGAAAAAGAACATTTGCTCCAGTCTCAGCAATAGACCCCCTTTCTGTAACTGCCTCTGAATATTATTCTGCAAATCACATTTTTCTTTTTATCCCAATTATTTTTAGAGTGTAAGGAAAATATAAAGGAAACTGTCTGTATTTCAGAACATATTCACAGTAATTCCTTCTTCTAGCTACATCATCACCAGCCTTCTTTTTTCCTAGGAAGGATGTCAGGATTTGGTGCACAATTAAAACAAATAAATTACGTATCACTGTAAATTTCACAGAATCAAGGAATCATTGCATCCGAGATCTGGAAGGGACCTTAAGACGTCATCAAGTTCAGTCCCCTTCCTCCAAGGCAGGACCAATCACCATTTAGATCAGTGATTCTCAACCAGTGGTATGAGTACCCTTAGGGGTGCTTGAGAGAAGTCTGGGGGGGGCACATCAGTACAACTGAAATTTGGAGAAAACTGAATTTTTGTTTTAAGTTTTTACAGCGTTTTATTATTTTTGTACTTTTTACACCCAAAAATTTCATCGGCCAGCTACGATTAAGTTGTTTAGTGTTGCAACAGTAGAAAAAAAAAGTGTGTGTCTGAAAACTAGGTACTGGGGGTACTTATAATTTTTTTTTTGAAAAAGGGGTACTTTATAAAAAAAAAAAGGTTGAGAAACACTGTTCTAGATCCTCCCTGATAGATGTCTATTTAACTAGCTCTGAATATCTCCAGTGATGGAAATTCCACATCCTCCCTAGGCAATTTATTCCAGTTTTTAACCACCCTGACAGGACATTTTTCCTAATGTCCAGTCTAAACCTCCCTTGCAGCAATTTAAGCCTATTGCTTCTTGTCCTATCATCAGAGGTCAAGGAGAATAATTTTTCTCCCTCCTCCTTGTAACACTCTTTTAGATACTTGAACTTGTGACACCCAACCACAGGGCAGAAAATGTCATGGAAGTCAATGGAAGTCATAGATTCTGTGACTTCTGTGACTCCCCAGGATATAGCACTAGTCTTAACCATATATTAGAAAAGGATCTAAGTCTGGATAACATTTCATTTAAAGATGGGTCCAAGCCCATCCCAACATTTCAGGGTTTTTAGACATAGAAATTGGCTTGTCCATTAGAGTTACAGGACAGATCTGAAATTCGGACTCAGGTTCAGATTCCAAGTGCCACTCCCTAAACTGGAGAGTGTCAGGTTAAACCCCATTTCTTATTTTATTGTTCTAGATTTTTTTTTACTCTCTTAAACTCACCTATTGACTAATATAAACCTCCTCAGGGCCCAAGCCAAAAAAGTGACCAGTGAAGGAAATTCTGCCTTAGGTTCGAATTCAGACAAGTCCTCCAACACATGTCTAAATGTAAGCACCTGAGTAGTCCCACAGAAGACACACTGAAAAGTTAAGCTTGCTTAAGGATAGGCTGGCAGTGAAGTCCCAGTGTAGCAGGGTAGTGAAGGGGGAAATGGGAATCTTGACTTCAGTACTTGGTCCATTCCCCCCATGTCCCTTTTAAATCTCATATAATCTAATGTGTAAAACACACAGTGATTAGCTGCATTGGGTCACATTGGCTTTGTGTGCATATAATGTGTCTTATCCTTTTCCTCACAGGATGGTCCCATTTAAACCATCTTATGATTGATGGGAGCTGCGTGTGTGTGTGTGTGTGTGTGTGTGTGTGTGTAAGTAAAGGTGTAAAAAGACCCCAGAGAAACTGCATGGAGCTCAATCCAGGGGTAAGAACAGAAAGCCATTACTGTTATAAGAGTGTGCTGTGAATAAGAGTGTATGTGTAGTTAATTACAGGTAGTCCCCGAATTACGCGGATCCGACATATGTCGGATCCGCACTTACGAATGGGGCTTTCTCGCCCCGGAGCTCGCAGGCAGCGGGACCGCCCAGAGCACAGCGGTCCCGCCACCTCGACCTCCGGGGCGAGAAAAGCTGCTCCGGGTGCCCCTGGTCTGCTGGGGACCGTCTCCAGCAGACCAGGGACACCGGGAGCAAAGCCGCAGCGGCGGCGGGGTCCCACGCCTCCCCGGCTTTGCCAGAGCAAAGCCTCAGAGGCGCGGGACCCCTCCGCCTCCCCGGCTTTGCTCCCAGTGTCCCTGGTCTGCTGGGGACCT